AACTGAAAATATTTGTAATTTTCTGCTGTAGCTCACTTGTACATAAATATACCCATCTTAGTACAGCTGTATACATGGAGGCTCATGATTTGCATTATAATTTGATTAGGATGCGGGAGAGATGGTGCGATCTTTTGTGGGTGGTTTAGAACTGATTGTGAGTCTCTTGAAATCGGAACATCGAGAAGTCCTAGCCAGTGTGTGTGCAGCTATAGCAAACATTGCCAAAGATGAAGAAAACTTAGCAGTCATTACAGATCATGGTGTTGTCCCCATGTTAGCAAGATTGACCAATACAGTGAGTGTTAATTATTTCTATTCATTTTCAAAGAACAATTATTTTTCAATTCTCAATTGCATGAAAAAAGAAAAATTCATTTGCATGAATTTTGATTTCTTTTTTCTGTGAATGTATGAATGTATTTTAGTTTTAAAGGCCGGTATACACGATAAAATTTGTTTTATAAGATTTGTATTATAATACAAAATCTTACTGTGTATACACTCTTAATACAGTGTATCATAAGATTTTTCGAATCTTATAAAACTGTATTAAGAATAGAGCAATGCTCTATTTTCTAATACAAGTCTTAGCTTACCTATCACTTTCAACCAATGAAATGTAATGACACTAGGGGTCATCCTATTTTTATCATTACTAAAAAAAGAAGCACATGGTAAATAATAATGATAGACTTTACAAGTAAATACATCGAAAAACTCGTGGCTTAATGGGAAGGGGAAAAGGACTTGTGGAATATATAAAGCAGTGCATAGTACGATGATAGACACTGCTATCAGATCTTCATCCTTCATTTTTATTACTTTGACAGAGAGAGAAATACGGCGGGAAAAACACGTGGGAATACATAGTTTATTTACAATCTTATAAGATATGTATTATCGTGAGTACAAGGAAGTATTTTAATACAAAAGTATTATAATACTTGTATTATGCTACAAATCTCATCGTGTATACCGGCCTTAAGGGTGTGTATTTTTATTTTTAAAACGTAAATACTAGTATAACAAAAAGAATTACATTGTAAGGTTTATATAAAGGCTAAATAGATTCAACTTGAATGAAATTGCCGTATTTGTTCAATAAATACTACCAAACAGTTCCAAATACAAACACAGTTGAATTTAATTAATAGTAAACATATCTATAGCTATTATCCATGAAGGGTAACACATTGAGTGTTTTTTCAGTATGCCTGGAAGGGTAGTAAATTTCAGAGTAAGGTAATGTCTATAGAAATCAAGTGATATAAACATCTTTCCTATGTAGAGAATCTAACATTACCACACGTTTGATACTGTGTGGGTTTCTTATAACTGCATTGGATTTTATGTGTTGAATGAACTTGTTGATCAATGTGTAACAGCATGCAATTTTATTCTTTAAAGTGCATTTTGACAGTCTTTTTGAGTCTCGCTGTTTGATAAACATCTGTACAGTACTTGTATTTATAATTTTTGCATTGTCATCATGTAGCCAAAAAAGATAAAATCACATTTTTTACTGAATCATGCATTTGTGCTACATTCTTCATATAAACCCTACCAACTTTTCAATTAAAATGTGATCCATCGAAATCATGATCAGCATCTACATAAAACGACTTTAGTTTTTCTGCGGGTGTGTTCATTGTAGATGTATATCTGAATTTAAAAACCACATTTTTACGTGTGACTCTACACTAGAAAGTTATAACAAATCATTTTTCATTTTAGTTATACTTTTATAGATAATTTTATAAGCTCTGTATATATACTCTCCTGCATACATATTTTAAAAGGCATGATTTTTCTTTTGATGCTCAAAATAAGTGAGCTCCTCGATTCTGAACAATATAATGCTAAATATAAAAATAGCCTTTACTTATTATGAACCCCTCCTTGATAAATACTCTGTTACTTAAAATTGTAGGAAGCTAGCTATTTCAAAAAGTATTTTAATTATTATGCAATGTGTGGTATACATGTATGTGTTATCAGTTTAAAAAGAATATACACTGAAGCTAAAAATAAATTATATTAAAAAAAAAAATTGTCTAAATATGAAATAAAATTCAGTTGAACATGCAAATAATTATTGTTTGTATAATTTCCTTAGGTGGACGATAAGCTAAGGAGGCATTTAGCAGAGGCTATAGCTAGGTGTTGTAACTGGGGGAACAACAGAACAGCCTTTGGGAGAGAAGGCGCTGTAGCTCCCCTGGTCAAATACCTCCGCTCACAAGACGAGAATGTACACAGATCAACTGCCCGGGCACTGTACCAACTCTCCAAGAATCCCGAGAACTGCATCACCATGCATGAAGCTGGTGTTGTTCAGGTAATTTATTGCTTATAAAGATTATTTTTTATAATTAACAATTAATTATAATTTTTATCTGAATTTGAACTGTTTGAAAAATTAAGAACATTTAATTGGTTCTTTTAATGACTGTACAACTCTAAAATTGCATGGTATTCCAGACAGTTGAAATGAGAATGGGTTCAATTTCCTAGTCTTGAATACCGTATAAACAGAATTTTTAGCAAGGGTTTGATTTTGGCATTATTAGTGATAGTGCTGAGAATTGAATATCGCTAATAATTAATTGCATTTTATTTGTAATACCTTCTGAAGTGAGCATTTTTATTCACTAAAATTTGCTCTAATATGGTCTCATTTATGGAAAATCTTTGTAAATGTCATCTATAAAAAATGTTAAGCTCATCAAAGCTTTCTTGTTTTAGCCTCTTATGAAAATGGTGGGTTCTCAAGACGAAGATCTCCAGGAGGCATCAGCAGGTTGTATAGGGAACATCAGACGACTCGCTCTGGCCAACGAGAAAGCAAGATATTCTTAAAATCTACCAGAAAGAACAAACTGTGATTATTAAACTGCCATTATTTTAGTTATTAATGATGAGCTATCTTTTTAAAAAAAAAAATGACTGTGATATGAATGGCATCTATTAGTTGGTGTACATTATACATGCACCAAGTTTGACAGAAAGATATACTACCATTCCAAAGACAGTGTGTTTATGAATATTTAAGTATTGAACTTGTTGACCAAACTATTTCAGAATATGTTTATGTTATTTAGTAAAGAAATTGGTAGTTTCTTAACCTTGCATTTACATGTAATTTATCAGAACATAGTAATTTATTGAAGAATATAAGAATTCCAGGAATTTTCCAATTATTGTTTTGTTATGACCAAAACTTTAAATAAACTTTATGAGTACCATCTGACAACATCGTTAATCTTGAATTATGTCACGTCAATAGATTTTGACTTAAATCTGGTTCTGCCTTACCTCCAAATATTTTAAAGTTTTAATAGTGCTGTGCATCTTAATTGAATATAAGGAGATATATCCATTTATGGCCTAAAATGTAGAATCTACGGAGTTGTTCCCCTTGATCATGGTGTTCTTTACAATGCTTAAGATCTTAGAGTCGCCCACATGGCGCAGTGGTTGGAGCATCTGCTCTAAATTCACAAAGTCAGGAGTCGATCCTAACGTCGCAGGTTTGAATCCCCTGTGGGACTTGGAGACTGGTCCTTCGGATGAGACCATAAAAACAAAGGTGCGGTGTTGCAGTAGGTGCTGGCATGAAAAAGATCCCTCACAGCTCAGTGGCCCTTAAAGCCGAGAATAGGACAAAATTTGCAACCGGCAAGTGGTGGCGTCTCAATATGAGTGAAAAATACTTGATAAGGACGTTTAACAACATACAATCAATCAATATTGGATCTTAGACGTATAATCAGACTTGTAAAAACTAAAAATGACCTGCAATAGAGACCTACACTCTCCAAGAAATATTGCTGTTTTTGAGGTCAATTCATCAAAATGATATGGCAACCTTACAATTATTAATGCAATGAACCTGAGAGATGAGGGGAGTATTGTACTTCAAGGGTGCATGGTTATTTTATTTACTGACAGAATGTTTCAACATGTGCTTGTGACTGAATGTTTCAAACTTTTTAAACAAATCATGCCATCTTTGCTAATTACATCACAATTACATTTGCATTGATTAATCCGATACAGAAAAAAAATGTCAGTCATGTAAAACCAATTTTGAAGAGGGGAGGCATTTTAAGAATTGACATTTTTTTTCTGAAATCCACTTTGTATGTTGAGAGCTTTTAGCGAGTTTACTGATGAAGGAGTTAACATTTTCCTTCTCATTACACTTGGAATGGAGCTGAGAGTTCAAACACCAAACCTAGCTGCAATAATATAGCCCTTTTCATACCCCTTATTGTACCTATAGTGGCATGGTTTCAGGATGATGAACTTTTCTTTCTATGTCTGTCTAAATATACTGATTATATTTAAAATTATAAACTTATAAACTGAAATCTACAGTTTAAAAAAATGAATTTCAAAGCAAATTTAAGCAATTTTCATTACAATAAATATATTTGGACAGACATACAATTCACAAAATATGCTAGGCTGAAACAGAGCCTTCTCCTTAAAACTATTCAACAGGGCTACAATATCCCAGATAATACCCCCACTTTATGTTAATGTTACATATTCACTAAAGTGGAATTCAGGTGCCAAGAAGCAACTTTTCAGAACTTCACTGTACTTGTATCAATTTGGAAGGTTTTAATTTACAGGTCCATTAAATATAGAACAAAATAAATCCTTATTTCACCAGGAAGGTCAGGTGAAGGTGAACACATCCTTTTGTATAAGGAAATGTTTTAGCTATACAACAAAGGAGTTATTGAATTTATATTGGTAAAGAATGGCACTCGTTGGCTGTTCATATGTACTCGCAAGATCGTGTATTTGTGCAGCCAACTTGTGCCAGTCTTCACCAATACAAGTTCAATAACCCTATAATATTCTCTTCATATGTGTTTGCAAGATTGTGTATTTGTGCAGCCAACTTGTGCCAGTCTTCACCAATACAAGTTCAATAACCCTATAATATTCTCTCCATAATATCTAAAGAAATACGAAATAAAATATCAAGAGAAAAATGCTTTATTAGATAACATCTTTAATATAACTACAGTTAACATCAGAAAATGGAAAAATATCAATGTTGCGTACAATAAGATGAATTCATTAACGATAGAAGTCCCACCCATACCTTGGATACACCAAAATAATTTCCTTCTTGATTTGCGAAAAATAAACGGATCAGTCTGAATCAAAAGCCTTCACCTGCCAGCAGCACTTTTCATTCAAATCTTCGAAAAATGGAAGGCACCTTTTATTTTTTCAAAAGCACTAATTTAAAAAATAAAGCTATCTTTTCATCTTTTTTGCTATAACCATGATAACAATTCTTGTGCCACAGGAGAACAATTTTCTGTTTCATATAAAAATACATTTTTTTTTTCTCATCAAAAATGTTTCTTTACAATATTGAAAAAAATTTCCCTATATCAAAAAAGTTGCATGTACTTTCAAGCTTAAAAATAAATGTGGTAACACCATATAACAAGTATTCACAACATTAATATCGCAATAAACAATTTAGAAAATAACATTGTAACTTCCTTGAAAAAAAATATTTTTGGAGAGCATAAAAATTTTAAGTATCAAATAATTCCAAGTAGAAAAGCTTTTCAAAAGCGAGGAAGAAAGAGAGGGAATCTTCTCTGAATTAGTTTTCATCATCCGATTGGTTCAAACCAATCTCTTCTTCACTTTCTCAAAAAACCCACCTGACTGTTACTCAAACATTCAGTCTTTTGTAACATCAAACTAATACAGTTACACTGTGACTGCAGAAATGAAAATGTTAAAAAATGGGAATGACCAGTTAATATATCTGTGTAAAACCCCTCCTAATGTCTCCTTTCCTGGAGAAACCATACACTGACACTAAATAGGAAACATGCAAACTCATGCTTCAGTTTTACTTAATATATCTGTTACATGTACATTATTGTGAAGAAAAAGACCCAATCCCAAACTACAATACTGCAAGAGAAACATCTACATAGGCAAAAAAAAAAGTTAATACTTTTCTATAGGATAAAGCATGTTTCAAAAATCATATTAAACAACAGAGAATATGCATCACTCAAAGCATAAATTACCATCTCTGCATATCAACAGACAAATATTAACTATAAAATGGTGGCCCAAAAAAGCACAGGTATTTTTAATTTTGCAACATGTGACCTGAATAAATAATACATCAAATGTTAAAATTTTCCCTCTTCTGAACTTCCCCCTCCCCACAGTTGTTCATTTCCTGTTGGAGTGTCATCCTCTTTGGTGATTCATTGTCCCCTTACACAACTTCATACTCCTTCTTCAGAGCCCGAGCAAGACAGAAAGCAAACAGGATTCCAACAATCTACAAATAACATGTTTCAGCTATTTTAGTTATCTTATAATGGAATACATACATTTCTGATAAACCAGTTAATTTTGGCCCTCCCCATTACTTTCATTTCTGTATTTCCATTCACTGGGCACAAAACACTAGACACTGTACTTACCTGAACAAATGCTAGACCAATTCCAACTCCTCCAACAATGAAAATGTTGTCTTTTACAAAAGTCTCAAACTTGGTTAGACATCCCTAAAAATGTAAAAAGTTTCTTTAATATATGTTTTATTAAAACCATGAAGGTCTTCTTTTTTTCGGCAGGAACAATGTGTTGATATGCATAAATTTTCTGCTCTCATAAACATAAACAATCACTACTTTGCTGGTCCTGATCAAGAAAAGATTTTTAAAGAATTTCTCTATATGCCATCTTTTGTAAAACCACACCCAAGCTCCCCACCCTGCATGGGCTCATGATTTAAAAAATAAAATCTACATCATCCACAGATGCTTTATTTTAATACCGTAAATCTGGAAATTTTTACGTCGATTTTATTTTGCGAATTCGGGTAAAATTGCTGTTGATTAATTTTTACGTTTCAAAATTTTGCGAATGACCACTGCTTTGTTTACATTTTCTTACTGGTGATTTATTTTTAAGAAAAATATTTTTGCGAATGCAATGAACTCGCAAATTTGCTAAAAATTTATCTACAGCAAAATTTTCCAGATTTACGGTACGACTCATTGTGATTTTATGGTTCTGTTAACTATTCAACCTGGCTATAATTTCTACACGATAAACATTGACAACCCATTTTGGCCAAAACCTTTCCAAGGGGTAATGATTTGATGACACCACCTTAGAATGCTTCAATAAATATGAATAATCATAGCTTTGCATCTATCTTTGCTTAGTTTTTTTTTCCTACAAAAAGATTTTCCTGTGTAAAACTATGATCACCTAAAGTAACCCCCCCCACTTTTGGGTCATGATTTCTAATTTTCAAACTTGGATGAACAAACCCTGTGGATGCTTCCCAATAAATATGACTCATCATTTTTTTTGGCTGATCTTGAGAAGATTTTTAAAATTTTTCTTTTTTAACTATGCAAATCCCAGATGTATGATCTGAACAAACTTAAATCTACAATCTGTCAGGAAACTAGCACTTTGGTTTGATCTGAACTTCCCTGTGGTTCTTGAGATTTTTAAGATATCAAACCTAATTACCGGTACTATTATTTCATCATTTTTTATTGTCAGAAGGCATTGCCCATCATTGAACAAAATTGAATCCCCTTTACTCAGGTTTGGCCAATGGTTCTAGAGAAGGAAATGATATAGCAAACAAAAGGCCCATGCGCCACACCGCTCACCTGCGCACATTGGCTAAGAAATAAAAGCAGAAATCACTTTAGTATTGAGAATTTTTCAGGGGGGGGGGGGGGATTTTGAACTACCAACTTCCATACAATAAATGCCTTTGCTGTTTTAGAGCAGATGATTCTTTTTCTATTTATTCATATACCCCCCCCCCATTGTGGCCCAGCCCTACCCATAGGAGCCCTCATTTGAACAAGTATGACTTTGTACTACCTGAGGATGCCTCCATATCAATATGTTTAAACATGACTTTTCTGTTCTTGGGAAAAAATGTTTCATTGATATTTCTAGGCAAAACTTTGATCCCCAATTGTGGCCCATCCTACCCAACCCCTACTTCCCATTCATGACTTGAACAAACTTGAATCAACACTACGTGAGGATGCTTACATAAAGATATGACCAATCATGGCTTTGTGGTTTTTTAAAAGAGCTTAAAGAACTATATGCGGTATTAACCAACATTTGCCCCCCCAAAATCAAACTTTGATGGAGTAATATTTAATTAAGTCCTTAAACAGGGGAGTATATGCTGACTTCAAAGCACTGAATAATTTCATAAGTAATGACGTCATATGTACGTAATGACGTCACAAATATGACGTAAATTTCAGTTTTTTATGAATTTTGCAGAAAAATGTACATATTTCGTCGATATTTTAAATAAAAGTCACCGAGCGCATGTGTGTTCAGGATAAATATTTTGATATAATGTGTAGAATGATAATATCAATGAAATATGTCAATATTGTTCCTGAACACACATGCGCTCTATAAATTTTAAAGCTTAAATTGTTGAAATTTTGTCCATTTTGTCCTCTTTCTGAAAAAGGATATAAAATCGGACTAGTTTGTGACGTCATAAAAACAGAAATTGTGAATACACTGCTCTGGAACTATAATATTTTCTGTTAACTTATATTTCTCGTACAATTTATTGAATTCAGCACATTTCAGGAAGTTTTCAAAATTTGACTTTTGTGGGGGCAAACATATGCAATATACCGCATATAGTTCTTTCAAAATTTTCCGAAGTATTAATTCCTATGTAAAACTTTCATCCCCCCCCCCCCCCCCCCCCCGGGAGTCATGATTTGAACATACTTGCATCTAATACTCACTACCTGAGGATGTTCTCACATAAGTTTCATCTTTCCTGGCCAAGTGATTGTTAAGACTGTATGTAAATCTTTGATTGCCCATTGTGGCCCCACCCTTGCCCCGGGGGCCATGATTTGAACAAAACTTGAATGTACACTACCTGAGGATGATGCAACTTGAGTTTAATCTTTCCTGTCCCAATGGTTCTTGAGAAGATTTTCAAAGATTTTTCCTACATATTCCTATGTAAAACTTTGATCGGCCATTGTGACCCCACCCTTGCCCCCGGGGTCATGATTTCAACAAACTGAAATCTTCACTACCTGTGGATGAGTCCACATGAGTTTCATCTTTCCTGGCCCAGTGGTTCTTGAGAAGAAGATTTTTTAAGAATGCCATTAATTCTTCACTAATTCATAATTATCTCCCATTGGAAGAGGGCGTGGCCCTTCTGAATCCCCTTTACCAAGGATACTTTGTAGCAAGTTTGGTTGAAATTGGTCCAGCGGTTCTTGAGAAGAAGATGAAATTGTGAAAAGTTTACAACAACAACGACAGGCAAGGGACAAATTTTGATCAGAAAAGCTCAATTGAGCCTTTGGCTCAGGTGAGCTAAAAAAAATGCAAGTTTACATCATTAACAACAGCATGGACACCAAACAGCAGACCATTTTTGATCCATTTAGCTAACTTGAAATATCAAGTGAGCAAGAAACTGTTTACAGACAGATGGACAACCAACACCCCAACATTGCACAAGCTCTTCCGATTACTGACCAGCTAAGCTAAATACCCGGTATGATAATAATGCTTTGTTAATTCTTTGATTTTTTCATTTCTGTTAACTCAGTTATGAGAAAATTAAACTTATAAATTTTTTCCACGATTATCTGTGATTATGAAATACCTCTGTGTAGATTTTGTTTGGAATATCACCAGTAGCACCCTTGCAACTAGTTTCATTTTTTCTGCAGCAAGACTGTGGAACTTCTGTTTTATTTAACACGTTATACCATTCTGTATAGTTGCTGACACCACAGCATTCAAACTAAAAAAAAACAACAAAAAAACATACAATTATCATGAAAGAAAACATTCAAAATACTAATATGTGTACATATCAATGTCTATTTCCATGTAACCTGACTATAAAACTCTAGTAGATATTTAAAAAAAAATATTTGGCAATAATAAACAAAATTCCAAGATTCTCATCCCACCTGCCCAAAGTTTTAACACCGCTTTAATTTTTTTTTTTTTTACTATCTCAATACTGTTTTAACTTTAATATTGTTAAACTTTATTTTTAAACCCCCCCCCCCCCTTTACATCCGCATGATTTTGAAAGCTGACAAGATGGTAAAAACTGGTAATATGCATCAAGGATCATTGGTTGTGAAAGATTGGTGAGGATATGTAGTATTAAGGAGATATGTTCTCTACTATGACTTTTATCTGAGCATTAGAGATAAAATTTGCATAGATTAATCAGGTCGACAAAATAATATAAATATTTTGAAAGAAATAAAAAGTACCAAATAAAATGGTCCCACTTGTCTCCATTTAAAAGTTGGATAAGAATCTGGATTTTTTTATGCTGACCTTGTAAGAAAAATTACCTCCTTTTGGACAGTATCCCAGACTTTGCCTTCATCTTTACCAGCCTGATACTTGTTCTGAGTCTCTCCCATTAACTTCTTCACCTGGGTCTCCACCTAAACAACATACAGACTTGGTTGAAATACTTTTTTTTCTCATTTACAAACATATCAGTGGATGTTTTGGTAAACATTATACCATTTACTCTTATTGTGTACAAATCCAATCAAAAATTTTACAAAGATACAATGTATAAAAGTATGTTTAATACTGTATATAAACAATTGAACTTTTCTTCCATTAAGTTTGGAAATTCAATTTAATTATGATAAGAAAATTTTCTCAAACTAAATCAACTGAGATGCGTTTTTGCGAGCTGTACACTGCATGAGTTAATTTTACCTCTCCATGGTACACATAGCCAGCGATTCCTGCTGAGATCTCAAGAACGAAGATGATGACTAACAGGACAGCATACTGTAAACAGAGAAAAAGGCTTTAATTTTCTAATTATACATGTACAACATACTGTAAACAGAGAGAAAGGCTTTACTTTTCTGTTCATACATGTACAACATACTGTAAACAGAAAGAAAGGCTTTACTTTTCTATTCATACATGTACAACATACTGTAAACAGAGAGAAAGGCTTTACTTTTCTATTCATACATGTACAACATACTGTAAACAGAGAGAAAGGCTTTACTTTTCTATTTATACATGTACAACATACTGTAAAATCAAACGAAAGTTTTACTTTGTTTGTATGTAATATGTACAGCATACTGTAACAACAGAGGAAGACTTTACTTTGTATGTCTATTTATAAATTTATACATGTCTATTTATACATTTATAGTTTATACATACTGTAAAATCAAACAAAAGCTTTATTTTGTATGTCTATTACATGTACAGCATACTGCCTTTAGGCATTATAGAATTACATCATGTGACCGACTTTTGTAAATTATCCCAATGAAGCTCTAAAAATGATTTCTTCTTTCTTACATACTGTATTAGTAAATAGAGAAAAAAGAAGCATAATATTTATATTATGCATTTATATTCTTTTTGAAATGTTTGTACATGCATGTAAAACTGTACCAACATTCCCACATTCAATTTTTGATGTATTCCCAACTATATTTTCTGTTATTGCATGTACTCTACATAGTACATATTAACTAGATATAAAGTTCTTATTATATCGTTCTGGATTATTAGAACAAAATTATACATAACATGTTTCTAGTCATAGCTTTAAATATTTTCGGATCGCCTATTAGTCTCATATTTGCAGCAATACTTAATAAATGATGTGTCTTTGAGCAGTTATTACCTGTAACAACAGGTGGGAAATTCTATAGAACAAAAACAAATATTGTCTACACATCCTGTATCATACTTAACAAACATTCATTGAAAAGCAAAGCAAACTCTCTTTTGAATTACAATGGTATTTAATGGAAGACAACCTCTTGATCCTAAACTGTTGAATGAAAGTAATGTTAATAAGCATGATTACAACAGTGGATATTTAAGTTCCTCTTTGCCATTTTCTATTAATGGACAAAATCCTGCTTATCAGTGGAGCTTACGTGACTGCCTGTTTAAATCACGCCTAAAAGCTGGTATATGATGCAAGCTTTATAGCATACAAAAATTCCACCCTTTTAGGGAATTTCCTTCCCTCTCTCTATTTTTAAAATCTGTTCTATAATTGAAAATAAAACTGTCTTTGTGCATATTCGGTATTGCCTGCTTATTCTTTTAACTTCTGATCTATTTTTTTTGTCATTTCCCTTTGGTGTCCCCCACTACCAGCTGACACTGTATCTGGTATCAACCATAAAAAAACAATCAATTTTCTCAAACATGGGGTGATTGCTTCCTACCCAATGACATTGAACTACGTACCATAATCATAACAGAAAAAATTTCAGACCTCATTTTCTTTGTAATACATCTAAACACACCATAAATGACACGATTTATCATAAAAGACTACTCTTAGCTGCAGAGCATGATTCCAAATTTGTGTCAGCTTTATTTAAACAAGACTTGTTGTGCACACTGATCAGCAGGATTCATCCAGCAAAACTCTACAGTTGCAAAATCGATGACTGTCATTCAATGCATCATTCAATTTTTTCTAAACCATAAAATCCATCAAACTGATTGTTGACAGGACCGACAAGTGCAAATGTTCATTAATCTTGCCATCAAAGTTTGCTTATAGTTAACTGACTTGTCAAGTTGAGAGCAAAATTCAATTCTGATCATTTATCTTCTACTAGAAAGCAAGCCACCTACACATATCGTCTGATCTAGCAGATGACATTTTTTCCCCTTTTGCCATTGCAGCACTTACATGTTATAGTAAACCAGAATAATAAATGTATCCACCTTAATTAATAATTATTAATGACTATATTGAGCCTGATTGCATCTACATAATCATCAATGCCTTAATCTGAATATGAATTCCACAGGCAATTTCTACATTGCTCAGTTCAGCTGAAGCTTCCTTTGCTGACTCATACACTTATTGATCTCTAAGCCTTGGCTGGACTACCTAATTTTGAGATAATTGTACACTTTATGTAAAAAAGGACATTTCCCTCTCTATCATTATTCGACAGATTTAACCCAATGAAGTACAAAGAACACATGGGAAGACGAGGCAATGGTCTTGCTGAAACTTATGTTGCATTTATCTATCTACCTATCTTTTCTATAGTGTCATTTTATTGCAACAGATGGGACAGAAAAACTGGGCATAGTAAGTAAATCAAAGCAAGAACTCTTGTGTTCGATATACAGTTTAACATAATGTGCATTATCCTACCTGAGAATTCTTCTATACAACTGTACATATCACCTTCAAAATATAATCTATACACCATATCTTCTTAATAAATATATGGACTTCTGAATATAGATGGAAAAAAATAAATATTTTGTAAATGGTGAATTTTCCATGTGAAAAAAAAAATGGAAAAAAATTGTCTATACTAAAATCATGTAAACTCCAAAACTTCTGCGCCAAACTATTTCTTAGGCCTAGATAGGGGGTCACAGCTATAGTCAAACTTTTATAAACATCCATCTCCACAGCTATGGTTAAGGATTAAGAACCCTCTTTTCCCCAAATTAATTTCCAACATGGGCACTGCATGCATGTTGACTTTAATCTAAATGATAATGATGAACAGTCTATACCATCAGCTCACCCTCTGCCAGGAAATGTTTTCCATTCTTGTGAAGTTTCTAACAGCTGCAGTGCATCAAAGACTTAACACACTCATCTTTTTTTCTAGTTGCACAACAATGAAGGTACTTGTTGCCAAACACTTCTAACAGCCATTTAAAGCTGCCAAAACATTAACCAGTTTTCATTTCTACACAATACTAAAACTATACACATCAAATATATATACATGGCTATAAGGAAAGCCTTTTCCTAAAGACCTTTTGTTTTTCATATATACAGGAAGTACCCTGAGGAATAACACTGCTATATGGATACCTTATTCTTAAACACCCAGCTGCCTTAACTTTCTAATCTAATGCCCTGAAGAAATACAATTTCAAATCTGCCAAATTCATTTACATCACTTTAACTATGACTATATATTGAATTAGACCAGGATTCAAACCTGGCCCTCCTGAATCTCCTATCAGGTGCTCTGCCAACAGAGCTATCCGGCCACCGTCGATTGAACCCAGCTGACCGCCACAAATAGGATATTATGGAAGGTAATCTAATAACATCCTAAACATGTTTCTACATTTCATGGTTAAGATATTAGAAAATCTATCATCAGAATTATATTCTATATTATTACACTGATCATATCTGACTCTAACAAGGCAACCCAATATTCTGGAATTTTTTAATTCAACTTTCATACCTGCAAGCTAATTCAGCTTGTACATTTTTTTTCTTGTTCATGAACTAAATTTTCATACAAAGTCAATTCCAGTCATAAAAGTATAAATATAAGACTGAAAAAGATACAATTCAAAATTATTTTCCTTAATTCTTAATGAATTGAAACAAAGACAACATGCAACATCACGACACCTCAGATATGTAACTCTGTCCCAAGGCGTCTTTTCCATTCTTTTTTTTTTTTAATTTTCCCAGTACTTACGATCATCACACAACAGTAGTTCTCTTTCCATGCTCCAATGCATCCGAAGAGAGCGATGAAGAAGATAATGACTCCTACAGCTATCAGTAGCGCTGCCGCTGAACTAAACTGGCCCCCCAGTAGGATGAAGTAGTCTTTGAATTTGAATTGGACTGTAGCTCCGGCCCCAATAAGACCTGCTCCAGCAATCTGTAAGGACAATTTTCAGACTATATGATACAAACATAGAATTATTGCACAACTATGATTTTATTTACTCAACTATGATTATGTTTATTTTATTGCACAACTTAATTTTGCACATTTACAAACAAATCTTAAAAATTATGTTGAAAAAAGAACATCTCCTGCACCCCAAAAATTGTAAGAAAGCAAATTTATAAAAATACCTGCCTTATTTCACTGGGATTTTACAGCCCAATATGAAAGAAGAACATTGCATCTTTATTTCTGTGCAGTAATAATAATTAATAAAGCTTTGTTTTTTTTTAAGTGAATCAAAGTCTAATTTCAAAAGATTGCACAAAAATGAAAACTTGCATGAAGTATTCAAGTTTATTTAACTTCAAACTTGAGTCTTTGAAACCTGTAATATTTATTTTCACATGACCACACAGTAACCCTGGTATTTCTAACCCTGGGCTTTTTGTGTAGTGTTAAAAAAGATCCGCAGAGTTTAATTTTAGAAATTGTGGTTTGTCACGAGACATGTTGAGTGTCACAAGATTTAAGGCTAGGTCACAGACTCTAGCAAAGAATGTGTCTTTTAATTCATGTCCTACATATAAAGTCATGTGCTATATTGAATACATTTTTGTTCCTTAAGTGAAATAAGGAAGTTAACATATATAATGATCTTTGGATGATATAATACACAATAAAGATATAAGGTCACATGATACGTTCCGCAATAATATTGAGGATTAAATATATCATTTTTCTCTAGAATTTGTCATTGAAGCATACTTTGAGAAGTTCCTTCATTAAAAATTAAGGTACTTAATTACAGGGCTGTCACAGCACCTTTTGGTACAACCGGGTATATCTCGACATTTTTGTCAAATTGGGAAAATTATAAACATACTTACATGTATTAACCCCTCCCCCCCTCCCCAAGCAAAATATTTAATCATGAAAGCCATTTATCACTTTAAAAAGTAAACTTCAAAAGCTAAAATTTACAGAACATAAGGTCTGATAAAATCTATATTTAACAGACCAAACATTTACTTACTAGACAAGCATTTTTTTTCTTTTATTTTCATATGATAAAGAGACTGAAAAAAATGTGGGGAGGGGGTATTTCTTACTGTTTAATTGCACCTTAAATAAATTAAAAATTAGATTATAAAGAATAGTTTTATTGAAATGATCAAGTTACTATTTAAAATTTTCCTTTTAAAGATTAGTATAAAATTGCATACAATTTCTTTCTTTTTTTTTCTTGTCATTTTTGACTCATGCAAATGAAATAGATAGTGTCCAAGATTTTACTTTAAAATATATTTATTTATTTTATAAACTAACTTGTAATGATTATCCTTGTTTAATAATGAAAATAATTTCCCCAACCCAATCTACGTATAATAGATCTCTATTCCATGACAGAGGAAATTCGAATTAGAAATAAAGGATCATGACAGGGTTGTTTTAGATTAAAATCAATCATGCATTACTGCTTAATGGATCAAATAAAGGATGTGTGTGTGGAAAATTAGGTCGTATATACTAGAAAACGTGGTTGGGAAATTTTTATGCATGAAATTGGGAAAATCTAGCACTTTGTGCCATTGGGAATGGGTCATAGATTTCCAAATTTGAGGGGAGTGACGGCCCTGATTTAACATGCTTTTGTGCAAGATATCAATAGATGTTTTTTACCATATCATCCTACTGGAAATCGCTTCCATTGGCAATATATCTCAATTTTTGGTGCCCTTATCTATAGTTTACCACTTTTGAAAACATTTATAAACCATAAGAATTCATATAATGAAGACTTGATTAATTTGTAATATATTATAATAAGATACAAATCAGATATTCAAGAAATGTGAAGTCAGATCTTAATGATTATTAAATTTGAACTTCCCTTTAATTGGTGTACTTTAAATCATAATGTTACAGTAATTTCATATAGTTACACGTATACCTCATTTATACATGGTAAGCAAATAATGCATTTGTAATGCATAAGATTTAGGTCAAACCCATATTTTACAAATAACAAATCAGCTGACACTGAAAAATCATTTTTTTTTTAAATTACAGTGACATAGCATAGTCTGCAAATTTGGATAACATACGCAAAGTAACCTTACAATCAAGAAGATAGTTAACTGTCCAAAAGTTTGTCCGAATGTACTGTCTATAACTTGATTGGCAATAAATCAATAATTAACGGTCTAGAAGTCTAAGTACAGAGGCTGATTCTTTCACTTTTTCTACGCAGCGAAAAAACTTTGTTTTTACAAGAGAATGGTATAGGGACAACAAATCAAGATGGAGCTGCTAGTCAAAAATCAATACTTTTAATAATAATTACCATGCACTAATCCTGAAAGGTTACTAATGAACATCAATGACTGTAAAATGTAAAGTTACATATTTCCATTGGAGTCAAATTTTCATAGTTTGAATGGAAAAGTTCTGTTCATCATGTTCATGGGCATTTGATTTTGGTAGTTTCTAAGAGTAAAGATACACTTCTAAAATTATATATTTATTGAGGACATAAATATTGGTTGCTTACTTCATACCCACAAATATAAGTGATTTGTCACAGTATTGAACTTTTTTTAAAATTTACTTCCTGCAATTTTGTGGTCGGTCATTTGCTGATAAACTTTTAGTAAACAACATAAATCACAAAATGGAAAACAAGGAAGGACGGCTATACTGATAAAAATATTGCTCATAATCAGATGACAAATAATATGTCATTCACAACATGTGTACAAATGTACATTACCCTTAATCTAAAGACTTAAAGTCTAGGGTTATCTAAATTGATTTCGTACAAAGACTTGTAAAACAATTAAGTAAGAAATGGGTTAAACCACATTGCTCCTGCAAAGCTTCCAAGTTTACTACGTACATCTCGTACAACCAAGCTAGCTTAAAATTTAAAATATTTTTACTAAACAATTTGAATTTTGAAGGATTTTTACTCCAACAGGATAATGATACATAATACATATATATCATAAAGATTATATAACTTTATGGGATTGGCTTAGATAGTAGTATGAAATATTCAAATTATGGTCAGATCTTTTGTGCTACATACATCTTCATGTGGGTAAATTTGGTAACAGAGAAAAATGTAGTGCACTATACCAGCTAGGATTTGATCTTGAGTCCCCTGAATCATTAGTCAGGTGTTCTACCAAATGAGATATCTGGCTACTGGAAATCAAACCTGCCCAACTACTACATTTCTCCCTTTTCAAAGGTTTTTTTCCTGAACACACCAACACAGTTTCTTTGTTGGCAACTTTTTATTCACCAGTCACTTCGATGAATGACCTGGTATCAAATTTAACTAGAGTGGGAGTAAAATGTAACAAACCAGACAAGGATTCAAACCCAACCCTGGTCTGCTACATTTTCTCCTATTCCTTTATAAGGTGTCATGTTCATGCTCTCAAAGTGAAGGGTGAAAGGTGTGCCAGGAGAGATCCTATTTAGAGGGGGAGGAATGTGGCAGTTGGGCGGGTCAGATCACTGGTGGCCAGGTATCCCAGGTGAAGTGTCTAACCGTTAATTCGCGTGGCCTGGGTTCAAATCCTGGTATGGGCTGTCACTTTTTTCCTAATCCATTACAGATATTATGCAATAAAGAGTATTTTTTTAATGTAAATGATTTTATGCCTGCAACATGTGCAAGAAATATAAATTCTAATTCAAACAATTAAATAAAATTTTGAGCTCTCAGTCTTCACGAAAACTCACTGGTCCGAAGACCGAGGCCAGTGAATTTTGATGTCGGGTCAGTGAAAATCAAAATTCAAGAAGTCCGATGGGCTTGTTGATTTTAAAAATAATGCACAGTCAATATATATTTTAACTGACTTACTTGCTTATATTTCATTAATATATAAAATGAAAAGAACAAACACGTGTTGTTGAATCGTATTATTATACGTAACAACAGGAACTAGCTAGTAACTATTAACTAGTACGTAAAATGTGCGAATTTCTAACGAACAACTTACCAAAACACGACAAAGGACGAAAAATGGCGGCATTTCAAAAGTTGAAGTGCGTAAACATGTATTAATTTACAGTTATAAAAATGTATTTATTTTATTTTTTCATTAAGGGGCCAGTAAAAATTTTGGTGGGCCAGTACATTTTGAAAGTTCACCGGTCCGACTGGCCAGTTAGTTAGAAAAGTTTTCGTGAAGACTGAGCTCTGGATCAACTAAAACATGATATTTTGATGTATTTTGTTTTTAAGATATTTTATTGACAGCATGTCAAAGGGATTGGGCACATAAGTTCCCAAAAACTTAGATAGTCCTCTCTCATCTGTTGATGTGTCTTATTTTATCCACACAAGACTGTTGAGAGAATACTTTGTTTCTAAAATGCCTATGCCATGGTTATAAATTAATGATGCTCATTTGTTTTCAACTGGTCTACCATTTCATACTACTCCTCACTATATAAAAGTATACACAACTGTCATATCATAATTACATCATTGTTGAAAGTATTCTATTTTTAGATCAAACTAGAGGGTAGTATTAGTCTATTAATAAAGTCCATGTCGTTTAATTATATACCCTTTGCTAGTTTTTTAATTTAATTCTAAATGTATGCTTGTAGCATTTTTAGAATTCGAACCTCTACTGGCTCTAGAACGTTCAACAATAAAGCATAGGCCCCTAGTTTATAAACGACAATAATCATAATCGGTTTCTATAAAAGTCCACTCTACAAATAACATATTTCAAAATTTCTATTAGCAGTATTTAAATCCAGAACTCATTTAAATCTAAATGCGGGTATTTTAAACCAATCCAAGGGCCTTAATAAAAGAATAGTTACACGTATGCAAAGAAAACCAGCTATCCTTCGAAAACCTCACCCCAAAAACTGTTTGTCATTTAAATAATACTTACCACAAATATAAGATTAAACACAAAAAGTAGAATTTTCACGCATTTCATTCCACCTTCCACCATCTTGCTTGTTTTTCACTGATTTCTCGTTCTTATCTCAGAATATTGTGTATCTGACTTGTCACTCTCTGTTGACGAACGTCCACCGGCGTAGTAATATATCTGCACTTCCTCTGAAATTTTTCAATGTAAGCGTTCAGTCAGAGAAACCTTTTATGAATAATAAACTCAAATTTTCCACATGCATATAATAAGTTATCTTCTGAATTTAGAGAAAAATTAACAAGTTACTAACAGAAAAAAAAATCAGATTCATTCATGGACTATATTTTTCCCCTGGTCACGAGACCATTTGGGGGCTCCCAGTGGGTGTCATACCTTTCGCGCAGTTTCTGGTCCAGTGCACCTGAGAAGATGGATCCGATGTATATATGTGTTTTTTCCCAGGAAAATCTGTTTTAACAGAGATGTCTTGTTGCTTTTTCTTCCGAAGCTTTCAGAGTGCTCCCAACTTATTTAAACATGATAAATGCACATTTCACAATCTATTTAAAACCGTAAAATCCACGTGAGGTTGACTCAAACAACATATATTGTGACGTAGGCCCAAATCTGCAATTTCCGTAGCGGTAAATGTCAGTCAGATGTTCTCAAGCTCACCCAAAGTCCACTCAGAGCGCTCTCCTGCTTAACCAGAATGAGATAGGTGCGTAAATTTTGGCCCTGGTTTGCATCGATGGGTAAAATTAAGTTTTGTTTGTTGTCCAGATTGTTTTTTGGCATAACTCAGTTATCAGTGTGGATTCAATTCAATTCACTCAATTACCCCGAGGCCATGGAATTCACAATTTTGAAAGAGACACCCTCCCTCGTCTTAAATGTCTATGAAGTTATTTTGTTTAATTCCGAGGAGCAGAGAAGAAGATTTTAAAAGAATTCATGCATTTTCACTGTATAATCAATAAAGCCCCACCCTAACCCAGAACCCCTGCCATGAAATTCATAAGTTTGGATGAGACATCCTTACTCAGTATAACTATGTATGTAGAAACTTTAGTTTGTTTAATACTCAGAGAAGAAGATTTTCAAAGAAAAATGCACTTTTACTATATATAATCTATATAATTATAGCCCCACCTAGGTAGCACAAGAACCCCTGACCAAGGCCTAGGGCTATGATTTGTTTTAAATTTTGGTAGAGGACTCGGTGCATGCTTATTACATTCATGCCAAGAGTTTGACTGCTTCATGTCCAAGAGTAAAGAAGATTGTTAAAGATTGTATTAATTTTAGTGGATTTTGTCTCACCTCTCAAGCCCCAGGAGACAGGGACAATGAAATTCACAATTTTTGTTCACTTCACCCATAAATGCTTTATACCAAAATTGGTTGATGTTGGTTGAGCGGTTAGGAGAAGAAGCTGAAAATGTCCAAATGTTAACACGTGTACACTACGCACGACGACGGACGAAAACGGATAGCAATAGGTCACCTGAGTGACTCAGTTGACCTAAAAATTGTGATTCCTACCTTTCAAGCCCTAGGAGACTGGGACGATGAAATTCACAATTTCGGAGAGCTTACAGTGCCACCCATTGAAAAAAAAACGGGATATTTATTGTCCACAAAAAAGTGCGCTGTTTCTCGATTTATTTCTCCATGTATTTAAAACTGTTATCTCAAACATATTCTTTTACTTTTTCCACAACAAAAAAAAATCCTTATAATTGCTGCCAGTTTGGTTTGCAAGATAATTCGGTCCAACGCGCTTCGTGCAGATGTCAACTACAAAAGTACTTGATAGAGGGGTAAGGAAATATTTTAAATTTATCTTTTTGCAATTAAGGTAGGAATTTGAAAGAATTAACCCTGAGCCAAGCGCAACTTTCTGTGCGCAATAAATATAATTTTTTTTCAATGGGTGGCATGCACTGTAGCTCTCCGGTCTGTCAAATTATATTTATTCGGAGAGCAACAGTTCTGCAGCTAGAGAAGAAGCTGAAAATGTTCAAATGTTAACACGTGTACACTACACACGACAGACGACGACGGACGAAAACGGATAGCAATAGGTCACCTGAGTGACTCAGGTGACCTAAAAATTGCGATTCATACTTCATTTTTTTTTTAAATATGCATCCAGTTATAAATTTTCGTAAAATTATTTATCTGCGAAATCTTCGTTAATATTCGAAAAGTTGATACTCATATTCAGAAATTTGTTTTTCGCATGCGAGAATTTGCTTCCATGAGATTTTAAGTATTTGAAAAGTTTATAAGAAAACTACAACATTGTGGAAGTTAGATTGACACGATAAATTTAAGTTAAAATAAAGAATCCAACCAAAATTCAGGAAAATGTCTTATTTTTCTTTTCGAAAGGGTACCTAAAATTCTGAACGATGTCGTGTCCAGATCAAATGTCACAGTGTTTTATATTCTATCACCCACCCACCCAAATCTCTGAAGCTTCATGATTTCATCAATAAGTTCAAGTCTGAAAGGATCGACACAGATATTTTTTCAAGTCTTTCAGAAAAGCAATTAACTCGTTTGGGAATAAGTTCAATGGGAGACAATAATGCGTTTAACCGACAGGGCAAGATCAAAGATAAACAAGAACTACAGGCCCATGGGTCTTAAAAGTCACCAGAGTATCATTCATGCAACTTTCCAACTATTAAAATTATGCATTTCCACTATATAATCAGTAGTGCCCCACGCAATAGGAACCACTGGCCCTTGCGCCATATATTTCACAATTGTCGAAAAGGCACCTTTGCTCATTATAAATGGTTGATTAGTACCAAAGAGCAGATTTCAAAGTATTAATTCATTTTCAATACTGATCATTAGAGCCCCCCCCGTTACCCTAGATCCAGGGGTCATGTAATTCATCATTTTGGAAGACTGAGGCACTTTTCCTCATCAAAACTAAGAATATCACCATAATACTCAGTAGCTGAAGACAAGATTTTCAAAGAATTAATGCATTTTCACTATATAATCAACATACAGCCCTGCATTAACACCAGAAACTCTGATTTTGGGGCCAGGAAATTCACAATTTTGGAAGACGCACCCTTACTCATCATAACTGCAGTTAGTGTAGTAGTTTAATGCCATGGAGCACAGTAGGAGATATTCAAAGCATTAATGCATTTTCATAAAATAATCATTAGAACCCCGCCCTAAAACCTGAACCCCTGACCCAGGAGCCTTAAAATTCACAATTATGGAAGAGGCACCCTTGCTCATCATAACTATGCACTAATACTTAGTTTATTTAATACATAGGAACAGAGAAGAAGATTTTCAAAAGAATTAATGCATTTTCACTATATATTCAACAGAGTTCAAAAGGAGTTCCTTGCTGGGGTAGGGCTGGTTCATTCTACCTATTCCCACTTTTTGAAAATCATGTAGGTAAGATTTTATGTGGCCCTACCCCAGCAAGGAACTCCTGACCCTGAGGCCATGTATTTCACAATTTTAGTAGAAGGCTCAATGCGTACCGGGTATTACAATCGCCAACAGTCTGACTGTTTGATGTCCATGGGTAAAGAAGATTTTTTTTAACCATATATATAGATATTATATTCCAAAACTGTTAGATATTGTTTAAGCGGTGTCAGAGAAAAATGTTCAAAAGTTAACGCACGACGGACTACGGACGAAAACAGGCAGCAAAAATAAACCAGTTGACTGCAATTATATAGTCTGTCTCCTATATTTCGTACTTATTTCCAATGTGGTTTATGTACATATAGATTGTGCTGTAGTGGCCACTGTAGACGAAAAACAAATAAAAATTGTCACAAAAATAAAATAAATAGAATCACTTTCAAACATTCTACAGGGTGGTCAATATCTGGCGATTTGAATTACTATGTCATTGACTGTTAATCCTGTTAAACGATGACATCACAATCATAACATGTGTCACTGACCGATAAATCATATGTTTGTGCGAATTCAGTTACTTTATCATAGATAAGATATTCAAATAAAATTTTATCTTTACTCTAATGATTAATAGATATGGCACTTGTTTACTTATAGTATCTAGAGTATTGTTAAACCTCCGCTTGAAGTGTGGGAGGGTGCACAGTGATCGGGATGTCCGTCCGTCTTTTACGCAATGGGTACCCAAAGTACCCTTTTGTACACTTCCTCTTTTACATTTTGATTTGACACAATTCCGGGTCTCCCAGAGTAAAACATGGACCTTGCCATTATAATCATATGGGAGGCTGGGGAAATCTTTAGTGTGCTTTGTACAGTTTCGTTTGTCGATCAATATTAATGATTATATATGGCAAGAGTGATAAAAACAAAAATTAAAAAGCACTCGAACAAGATATTTGAAGGCACAAGGAAACCAATTTACTGAACATCATCATTGAATTTTTTAATTATACGACACCGGAAGTAAAAGTATTTTTTCTCGACATACGTCTCATGGGTCGTCGAGTACTCTTTAGGACAGAGTCAACATAATCTTAAACGTTTTAGCTCACCTCAGCTGAAAACTCAAGCGACCTTTTCTCATCATCCGTAACGGTTGACTGTAAAATTTCTACATTTTTTCAACTTCTCAAGAACCACTTGGCCAATTTAACTAAATTTGGAAGAAAGCATCCTTGGTTTAAGGAGAATTTATATTATTGAAATTAAGGGCCAAGCCGCCTTACAAGGATAGATAATCATGAAAAGACAAAGTAGGGTGGGATATTAAATCTTCTCAAAAACCACTGGGCATGAACAGCTGAAACTTATGTGGAAACATCGTTACATGGGTATTGAAAATTTTAAAAAGTTCAAATCATGACCACGGGGGTAGGGCGGGCACAAAACGGAATCTTAATTTTACACTGAAATATATAGGCAAAATATTCTCAAAAACCACGCACCGGACCAAAAAAATATGTAGAAGTATCATCAGGTAGTCTAGATTCTAAATTGTTCAAATTATGACTCCTGGGGTAGGACGAAGCCACTCTATTCGGGGGCGTAGTATCCGGGGGGGGGGGGGGCAGGGGGGGGCAGGGGGGGGCCTGGCCCCCCCACTTTTTTCCCAACCTTACTTACACTATCGGAATTGTTAATTAAAAGCCTGTTGGCCCCCCCCCCCCCACTTTTAGAAATGTACCGAAA